CTTTAGTCTGAAATTTTTAGGGTGACTTGTTTGAGATAAAATGCCCCTTTCAAAAGTCTAAACCAGGGGTAGGCAACCTTTCAGAAGCGGTGTGCCGAGTCTTCATTTATTCACTTTAATTTAAGGTTTCGCGTGCTGGTAATACATGTTAACATTTTTTAGAAGGTGTCTCTCTCTAAGTCTATATTATATAACTAAACTATTGTTGTATGTAAAGTAAACAAAGTTTTCAAAATGTTTAAGAAGCTTCCTTTAAAATTAAATTAAAATGCTGATGTTACGCCGCTAGCCTGCTCAGCCCGCTTCCAGCCTGGGGTTCTGTTCACCTAGGCCTGCAGCGGGCTGAGCGGGGCCTGTGGCTGGGACGCCGGCTGGCAAGGGGCCGGCAGCCGGGACCCCAGACCTGGGCGGGGGTTCAGGGGTCAGGGCAGAGGGTGCAGAGCAGAAGGCTGGGTGTGTGTGGGGTTCAGAGGTCAGGGCAGAGGGAAGTGGGGATGTGGGGGGTTCAGGGCACAAGGCCGGTGGTGTGGGGGGATTCAGGGGTCAGGGTAGAGGGGTGTGTGGGGGGGCTCAGGGGTCAAGGTAGAAGGCTGGCGGGTGTGGGGGTACAGGGCAGAAGGCTGGGGGGATGGGGGGGTGCAGGGCAGAGGGCTGGAGGGTATGTGGGGGAGGTCAGGGCAGAAGGCTGGGTGGGTGTGGGGGGTTCAGGGCAGAGGGCTGGAGGGAGTGTGGGGGTGCAGGGCAGAAGGCTGGGGTGCTCAGCTCGTGGGGGTGCTCCCAGCCCCCTGCCCTGAGCGGCTCATGGCAGGGGGCTGGGAGGGATATGCCCTGTTCCGCCCCCTTCCCCCAGGCTCCGTCCCTACCTCTCTCTGCCTGCTCTACGGAGCTGTGTGCATGCTGCCGCTCTTCCCCGTCACCTCGCTAGGGCCATCGCCGGCAGGGAGGGGGAGCGTGAGGGGGAGGGGCCGGAACGCACCACGCTGTGGGAAGAAGCGGGGGAGGGGGGAAGCTTGGTCCTGCAGCAGCCAAGCTCCCCCCACCCCTTCTTCCCCCAGCGTGGCGCTTTCTGGCCCCTCCTCCTCTCACCGGGCAGGCCACGTGCCACTCAGAATCGGCACGCGTGCCGTGTTTGGCCCGCGTGCCGTAGGTTGCCGACCCCTGGTCTAAACTCTCAGGTTTTTATGAACATCTGTGCTTACTTAGAACGGTACAAGGTAGTCAACAGACCAGCAGTTTATAGAAAATACCGTGCCAACCTTGCAGCCAATGTGATCCTTGAGGCTGATGGGAACCCCATACAGTAACCCTCTCTCCTTCTGCCTTCGCACTTCCCGCAGTTGCTCCTCGCAGCCTTGCATAAAATCTGTCACACAGTTCACCTCCCGGGTCACCTCCAAGGCCTTTCCGTTGACACGGAGAACAGCAGCAGGACAAACACACCGAGAAGGGAAGGGGGTATAACAATGAATAAAGACAGTATATTTGAGGTTGAAAAGAGAGACCTTGCCAAACCTTCGGGGCTTCATTGTTCAGACTTTAGATTCAGTCCTTGGCCTTTCTATAGAGAGAGTATGCTAAGAAGTATGCTCATTGTGATCAGTTGTTAGGACAATTTTGTGCTCTGAGCACTTGTCCTATTCATCTGACATAGGCCACCGAACAGCTATTAAGATGGTGATGACTTTTGGTCTCCAATGTTGCCAACTCTTGCAACGTACAGGGTGGGTTTTTTTTAAAGTCCCAGCTCCTGGAGTCATGTGATGACTTGAGACTCTCAACTTTCATTTTTAAAAAATAATACCTGGTGGTTGCAGAGAAAAGCTTGAGCATGTCAATCAGAAGGGCTCAGATACCAGAAGGCAAATAAAATGAACCCCAATGTTTATTTAATCCTTAGGATTTTTAAGCCAGCCAATCTCTTGATTTTTAGCACTTGACTCATGACTTGGCAATACTGAGGTTCTATGAGTCTGCGCCAAATTCCAATTGGTGGGGTGCCAGACTACATCTCTCCTTACCAAATCCCCCCCCACTCTGCCAAAATACCCAACTTCCCAGAATGCACCTGGAGAACGTAGCTCATGTTTGTGTGGTGCTCTGTCACCCTCTAGTGGCTGGGCCATGCATAAATGATGAGTCTTCTACAGGCTTGGGTAAGAGGAGCTAAAAGAGGTTTTAGCTCACGCAAAGTGGCACACACTTTTAGATCCAAAGGTCCTGGGTTTTATCCCCACTTCCAATGACTAGTGGTGGGTGGGGAATGATTTTCTTGTCCCATAAATTTTTTTCTCATCCTAAATGGAACAAAGTTGAAATTTTTCATGAACTGAAAATCCAAAGGAAAAAAAGGGATTTGGGTCAATTGCAACATTTTATTTAGATAGTAACCCTTTCTTAATTTTTTTTTAACTGCCATTAGCTTACATTTTGAAACAAAAAGCCATTTCAAACTGGGAAACCAGAATTTTTCATTTAGAAAATATTGAAACATCTATTTGGCCAATTGAAAAAAATTCAACTATGGTCAAGTCAAAAAATTCATCCAAACCAACCCTTTCCCACCAAACGTTTCTGTTTCCACCAATCGGCATTTTCCGATGAAAAAAAAAACCTTTCGCTGAAAAAATTCCTGAGCGGGTCTACTGACGACGTTACATTTACGGCTCGCTTTTCTACTTCAGTCTCTTCTGCAAACACCCCACCTAAGAGGACATGTGCAGTACCCATTCTCCACTGCTAAAAATTCCAGTGCGTTGCATGCAATTTCCTAGGGCTTCATACTGCCCCCCATTACCAGAACATCTGAGCATCGCTGTGGTAATTTCCCTCTCTTTCCACCCGAGACTACATTACCCAGCAGAAACACAGAGGCTTCCCCTTCTAACTTTACAGGGCCAATACACCTTGTTGTACTCACCTGATCTATGTACGTGTAGAGGACGCTCTCTGGAGAGAGGGAACCTTCCTTCAGTTTCTCAGCCAGCTCCACAAGTGGCAGGGAGAGGATGTGACCAGCCTGTATCCCTGGGTTCTACAAGGTGTAGAGGCATTGTTACACCGGGAAGGTTTACAGAAAAGATACTACACACAGTGGATCAATTACACTCTGGGAGTAACTCAGAGTTACAGCAGGGATGAGCTTGACTCCCTGGGTGAGCTTATAAACACCACCCAGGAATATTAAAAACCTCTTGGTGTTGATTTCTTCATGCTCCTCCTACCTAAGTCCACGCTCCTCCTCCTTAATAGATATATCCCCAGCCAACATGGTAGAGTCCGTTCTCCTGGACTCTGTGTGAGTCCGCCCAGGTGAAGCTCCTTACAGCATTGGCGCTTATCTTCTGGTTACATTATGGGACAAAGCAGAGACTTATCGAAAAAGAACAACGTTGGTTGATTTCAGCGAGAGCACTCAAGCAGGTAGTCTGCCAAAATAAGTTAGTAAGATCAGGGCCGGCACCAGGGTTTTGGCCGCCCCAAGCAGCCAAAAAAAAAAAAGCCACGATCTTGATCTGCGGCGGCAATTCGGCGGGAGGTCCTTTGCTCCCAGCGGGAGTGAGGGACCGTCCGCCGAATTGCCGCCGAATACCTGGTCGTGCCGCCCCTCTCCGGAGCGGCCGCCCCAAGCACCTGCTTGCCAGGCTGGTGCCTGGAGCCGGCCCTGAGTAAGATAATCGAGTTAGCTGGGTCGGGGCAAATTAGGGGAGCGGGAAATAGCTGCAGAAATTTTATTTTACAAATTCTGATAATGATTTACAAAGTGATGCAGAGAAAAACGTTTAGGAACAACGGAAGAATCGCGGTAAATTTTGCAGGAAACAAGCCAGAAGAGAGTTCCATTTTGAGTCTTGTAAAAGGCAACTTTGCAGCAGTTTCCCTATGAAATTGTTTTGCCATTTTTGATCAGCGATCACTTTGCTGGATGATTTCTGCCTAGCTCTGCTAATCACCTCCAACAGGGGATTTTTAAAGATCATAGACTCTCAGGGTTGGAAGGGACCTCAGGAGGTCATCTAGTCCAACCCCCTGCTCAAAGCAGGACCAATTCCCAACTAAATCATCCCAGCCAGGGCTTTGTCAAGATGTTCACTTTAAAAGAGTATCAGAGGGGTAGCCGTGTTAGTCTAGCAGAGCACCTCACCCTCCCCGATTGAACTAACCTCGTTATCTCCACACTGATTTATACCTGCCTCTGGAGATTTCCATTACTTGCATCTGAAGAAGTGAGGTTCTTACCCACGAAAGCTTATGCTCCCAATACTTCTGTTAGTCTCAAAGGTGCCACAGGACCCTCTGTTGCACTTTAAAAGAGGTAGCCTTGCAATGCAACAGACCATGCAGGAGGAGGAAGAACTGACAGCCAAGTTCCTGTTAATAATACAGCGCCTTCTCATGCAGAAAACCCACTAATGACCTCTTTGTCCAAGGAGCTGCAGCAACCTCAGCGTTTTGAGTCGTGTGACATACTTGCATTACTTTTCTGGACAGCCTTCTCTTTGTCTAGTCAGTGCCTTGATTTTTCAGCTGAGACGCAGTCACCATTTTCAAAAGGTAATATTTAGATGGAAAAAGAACCAAACATTTTCACATTCTTCTGCCCGCAATTTGCAACTAGCGATAACTGTCAGTTTATACACTCTCCGCTCCAAGGACCTTACCATCTAAGAGCTACATACACACTGCAGCAGTGTGTGCCAAAACCCCTTCTGCTCATTCGTCTGCAAAAGTTAAGCAGAAATAAAGTCCCTTTGCCTGGGCGTTACACCAAGGGCCCATGGCTCTCCAAAGGGAAAGGAAGGGCTGAGGCCATGGAGAATGGGGGTGCAGCAGGCTGCACCTGATAAAGGGGGTACATCACTGTATTCGGAAGGGAGCTCCCCCTTGAGGTGGGCCGCTGCGCGGCATGATCTAGCCCCAAATGATCGTTTAGGGAATGAACAATCTCCACCCACTTGTTTAAGGCGACACAAATCCACCCCCGGCCAGAAAGTAAAAGTTACCTGCTGTTTAAACCGCCAAACCACCTTCTCCATTCGTTCTAGACTGAGATCCCGCGTCCTCCTTGCCTGTTCCATCTTCTCCTGGATCCGTCTCTGCGCCACCCATCTCAGCGCCAGCACCGCAGCGGCTGAGGCGCAGAGCAGGGCTACCACGGCGCGAGGATCGACCTCGCCCTCAGGCAGGAGCAGCCTCCAATCTGCCTGGATCATAGCGGGACCGTCTCCCAGCCTTCACGCCTGCTGATATGCTGGGCTCGGGCGCGCAGCAGGAAAGGACAGGCGAAGGCTGGTGCTACTTAACCGCCTGCAGCGCGCAGTCAGCTAGAGACCAGTTCTGAAACAGGAGAGCATAAAACTCCAGAGCTGGGCGTCCTAAACCCTGGACTTCACTCTGGCACTGAACCTTTGCCCCGTCAGCGATAGCCGAGCGGGGACTTCATTTCTCCTCTGAGAAGGCCAAGAGGCCGTCCCGTTTGGAATGAGATGTTGAACGTCAACGGGAACCAATGAGAGCCTCACGAGTACAAGACAAGCAGCACCTCTGTCCCTGATTTGGTCTCCCTGAGGGCCCCTCTCCACGGATCACCCTCTTGCCTGACCCTGTCTCGTGAGATTCCACCCAAATTCTTCCACTCTCAGACCAGGACCCTGGCACACTGCCCTGCGTACCAACCACTTATCCCCCTGCAGCTCCAGCTGGGTTTGGGCCCCTGCGTTTCCTCCCTTCGGGGACCTGGAGCCCACGATATAGCGACCCTCCGCCTCCTTGCAACAAAGTGTTTTTATTGAGTGGCTGGAACAAAGCATCAGAGGAAAAAGGGTTTGGAAAACATATCAAACCCTCCGTGTTTATTTCGCCCTATCTAACGGGCAGAACCAAACCAAGTCACGTTCTCCTAGCGAGCCCAGCAGTGCTTAAAGGGGCCCGAAAGAAAGCAGCACTCCCCCGTCTGCCCGTCCTGGTTAATTCTGCACCCAACCCCCAAGTCAATCCTGTCCCCCCATCAATTCTACCCCCAGAGCCCCACTTCTGCTCCTCCTGGGGTTCTTCACGCCCCACTCCGAGGCCCGGGGGCAGCAGCGGGCTCCCCTCTCCCGCTGCCAGGCATTGCTGGGAAGCGCACAGGAGTGATGAGCGGCTGACCTCCGCGGGCAAAGGAGAAAAGCCGCCAATCAGGGTTTTTTCTCCCAGGCGGTGCTTTAAACACTGCAGCCTGGGTCATCCTGGGACCCACCCCGAGCTGGCTGTAGGCCCTGCAGTTCTCCTTCCAGCCCATCAACCTCGCCTTCTCTCCCCTTGTCCCCTGGGTTCTCCCAAGTGTACGTGGGTCCTGACCCACCCTATCAAGCCAGGTTGGGGGGCTGCCCAGGAGACAGGCCCAGGGCTGTTAAGACCACTGGCTCTGGCAAGGTCTTCTACTGACCCTTACGTGGAAGTGGCTCGGTGACTTAGAAGTGGCCTCCTTGCCTGGAGCACCCTAGACAGAAGTATTTAATCAAAACTCTCCTGACAGACACACCGGGCTAGTGCCAGATCCAGAGACCAGTATCAATCATTATCAAAGAGCACCCCCACACTTATCCCAAGATGTAGAGATGGGGCAAAGGGCAGTGGCACTCCACCTGGGGCAAGCTGAAGGACGTCTCCATCAGACTCTGTGATTGTCACAAATAGAGAGATCCAGAATACAGCACTCGTGGTAACTAGCTCATAATCCAAAAAAGGGAGCGGTCGAGATGGGACCCATCTAAAATCCCAGAGCTTTGGGGACAGGGTGGGTTGAGAGGGAAAACCCTTTTCCCTCCCCCCGTAACTTTCACGATTGACCCATCTCAAAGGCGCTTATCTGTACCTCATCACTGTGGTCTCAGAGCACTTCACACTCTGATTCTTTTATCCTCAACACCCCTGAGAGGCTGGGCTGGGGTATTATCCCCATTGCACAGATGGGAAACTGAAGCACAGAGAGATTAATTTACCCAAGGTCACATGGGAAGTCTCTGGCTGAGAAGGGACTTGAACCTAGGTTCCCAAGTCCTACGTTTTGTGGGGTCCCATGCGGAGCAGATAAAGTACACGACCAATGTGGTTGCAAGCTGAATCCGAATCCTGTTTATTGCAAGCTTTCTTTTATAGTTTTTCTCTACATTACATAACACAATTAGGCTATAATCACACATCTACGGATTGGACAAGAAGGAGAATCATGTGTTTATCACATGTATAGCCCCACACCGATTGGTTCAACCGTTCCTTACATAAGGCCATGATTTATTACCTTGTTTACCTCATCTTATATAATCCCTACACCACCAGGGGGGCCTTACATAAGGCCATGATTTATTACCTTGCAAGTGTCCCATCGTGACCCTTACTTCCTCATGGAACTTTCCATTAGGTTGGTGTAGGGATGATGCATCCCCACAACGTTTAGTGTCCTAACCACTGGGCAGTCCTTCCTCTTTATATAATGGACCGACCTCTGACCAACCCTGAGCGTAAGGCGCTCAAAATCCAGCTCTGAACTGTGTGGCTTAGACCCACGTCTAGCAATAATTAATATAGTAACTAACCCCACTAACTAAAGGTTACAGCAGGAGTAGATGTTTTCTCTTACCCTGGTTACAATGCAACCAAGTTTAACCCGTCGATCTCTGCAAGCGATTTTGGGTTTTTTCTTTTTGCCTCTCTTGGTGTGTCTTCACTACACCGTTAACCTGGCCTCCTATCCGGGTTCTAGCCCAACCCTTCCCCCCACCTTCCAGCCCAACTCTTCCCCCCCACCTTCCAGACACAAAAACCTTGGACCTGGGTTTCGATGCTTACAGTGGTCTGAGAAAAAAAAGTGTCTGTGGAGGATGGGGTCTATCACCAGCCCCAGATGTGCCCATCCTCTTGCTTAGAGCTGAGACCTCCCATCAGTTCTACCCACGTCTGTTCTGCCCGCCATCAGTTTTGCACCCCCCAGCGAGAAAGCGGTCAGCTCCGGAGGGGAAGGGGAAAGAACTCTGCCTGCTTTCTGACGGCAGGGCACTGGGGAAAGCAGCTGATCAGAGAAGCCCCCCTCAGGCTCCTGGCACACTGAGCACTGCTCGGGTCCGAGGTGCTCTCTGCCCCGATGAGCTAGCCTGGCATGGAGGTAGCCCGGGCTCTGCTGTCACTCATGCTGGAACGCGCTCAGTTTGCAGTGAGGACGCAGGCTAAGCCACTCCAATGCGGACAGTCCCCCAGAGCCTTCCCACAATGGCCCCCCGAGGACAGACGAGTTCTCCTGCAAGTCACCCAGCGGACTGGGAAAGACTCGGAGCATCTCAGCCCGAAGAACAAAGGAACGTGCCCCCCCGAGTCTCCTGGGGGTTAATGCAGAAACCATGAGGGCACAGAAACGCAGGTGAGACTTCGCCGGGGGCTGCTCACACCAGTTAGGCTAAACTATGTACTCAGACCAGGGGGCTGACCACCTGGGCTAACTGCGCAGTGAAGATCCAGCCTATGTTTTTGTCACCAACTGCCTTGATCCCTTCCCGGCAGCTGCTCGTCTTTAGTCCAGCCGTCACGGGACACAGAGCACACATCTGAGAGAAGCCGCCTGCGGCTGCATGAAGGCCCCAAGCATACTCAACCGCAATGGATCTCCATTCTAGGACGTGGCGCTAGAATCATCAGGCCAAGAGTTTCAAAAACGACTTCTGCTTATGGGTGCCTCCATTTTTGGGAACCCAATTTAGGTGCCTTAAGGTGGTCCGATTTTCAGAGGATGGATGCTCGGCCCTATCTGTGAATCGGGATCTTTAAAGTATCCCAAGCTGGGCAACTCAATAGTTGCCTAAGAAAATCTTGGCTAATATCATCACAGATCAATAGTTATATGGGTAATTTCTCTCCTTTCCCCCATAATGTTTTGACCAGCAGAGGGCAGCAGGGATGTGCAAAGTGTTCTCACCATATTCAAAACCCTACAGAATTCAACTTTTTAAAAACTTTATAGCAAATTCCACAATCACAGCCCAATGCAAACAGTCCAAACAACCACCCCCAGAAAAAACGTGTGTAAGATCCAGAGAACAGTCTTCCTTAGCTTTCCATGGGTTTACATCAGGCCCTTTGTTACTCAAGCTTAAACCTGGAGAAACTCCACTGAAATCAGAGGAGTTACTCCAGATTCACCCAGGGCGGAGTCAGGCCCAAGAACTTTCAAACTGGCTTTGCAGAAACGATTTCCCTTTTCCGTAATTACCTTAAGAGCGGGCTCTCCACATTGCTCCTAGTACGGTCACATGAATTTCAACGCGCCGCCGGACAGTCCGAACAGGCGAGTGGATCATAAACGGGTATATTTACATCACTGCCAAATAGGATTGTAGGGGTCATTGGATTGCTCGTCTGGGTCTTGGAAGATGTGGGTTCAATTCCCTGCTCTCCCAGTGTGCCGAGGACATGCGGGTGTGTGTGTGTGTGTGTGCGGGCGAGTGCTCCAGTCTCCGGTGAGCAAGGGGGGACAGAAGGGGAGGAGCAGAGGGGAAGGGGCTGGGGGTAGCCTCCTGCAATGGCACATTCACCTGCAGCCCATGCAGAGAAGGAAGGGTCAGAAAGTTAGGAAAGGGCTCAGGGAAATGCAGCAAGGTCTGGGGTGGAACAGGCCTAGACTGCTGACTAGAGGGTCCCTGAGCCAGAACGTGGAGTAGAGGGTGGGCCCAGGTTCTCCAACCAGCCAGAGGGGCAGTGAGTAAGGACACTGTTGGAGCCTGTGTGTGAGGAGAGACTTTCCTACCCCCCGCGAAGGGGAAACCACAATAGTGACCTGAGTCACAAGGGGGCCGCCGCACACCTGGGGTGAGAGAGGGGCTGCAGACAGAGAGAGGCGGCGGGACAGTGCACAACTGCAGAAAGGGGCATCGACCTGGTGAGCTATTCCCAGAACGGCCAGGAGGAGGCGCCATACCTGCTGTGAGTGGAGCACCCCGTGACAACTACCTCCACAGCAGATATGAATGATGAGGGAGCAAGTGACGTGACCTGTCTTGGATGTGCTAGGTTTTCGTTTCTGCCAAGGGACATTAGAGATTCCTGGTGCAAGCCGACGGACATACCGGAGGAGAAGATACGCGGGCTGGAAGTGCAGATTTCAACCCTGAATAGCATTTGAGAAGACAAAGTTGTCTTGGACAACCAGACTTAGGAAGAAATCGAGCCCGCAGGGGAAGGATATGTGACAAGGCACCGGGAAAGAGTGGAAACTGAAGGACAACTGGCCATCTGGGACCAAAAGGGGAGAGAGAACCACGAGGTGGGGTGCCGGAATGGGGAGGGGGCCAGGACCCTCCCACTTTTCACCACAGGTCCTGCCCCTTGCTCCTCCCCTTCCCCCCGAGGCTCTGCTCCCCGGCCCAGCTGGGGAGCCATGAACCTTCCATCTGCCTGGGGTGGGCGGGGCCTGAGAGCAGCTCCCAGCCCATGGCCCCGCCCCGTGGTCCCCCAACCAGGGCAGATGGAGGGTCTGCAGCTCCTCAAGCAGCGCTTACCACGGCCCGTCCTGCACATGCTATGGGTCAGTCTTCGCTGCGGAGTTAAGGCAGGTGATCGGCAACCGGATCTGAGCGCCCAGGTTAGCCTAGCCCGGGTGCGAGGGCCACAGTGCAAAGCCTTACTCGAGTTACTGTGTCCTCACGGGTGCCGCCCTCCCAGTGTGTGTGTGTGTCGCTGGGCCTGCAGGTGTCACATCCCAGGGTTCTCTGTGCTGCACTCAGCTGAATTGTGGGAGAACTCGTCTGGGCCCGCAGGGGGACTGTGGGATGGTACTGGAGGACCAGCAGCACTGGAGTGATGTAATCTGCACCCTCACTGCAAAGTGGGGGGGTTACCAGCCCGAGTGAAAG